ATTAAATAAATTAAATAAATTTTTAATATTTTTATTATTAATTATAAAGTTTTACCTCTTTTTTTAAATTCTATATTGTTTATAAAGTTGGTAAGTTTTATATTATTTTTAATAATATTTAATAAAATTTTCTATAAAACTCACTTTTTTTATTTAAGTATTAGCTAAAAATCTGTTAAAACAATAATTTATTAGTTGAAAAAAATTTTTTTATAGGAAGAATTAGTAAAATTTTGCAAAAGATGTTTTTTTTTAAAGAAAAAAAGCTTTAAAAAGTTTTTTACCGATTTTATATTATAAAACTTTATTTGCATTCCTTATATAGATAAGTATATGCATGTTAAATTAATTAATTTTAAATAAATCTATAAAAGGTAAGTATTATTTATAGATTATTTATAGATTAATTTACTATAGAAATTATAGTAAATCATTGCATAATCATAACGTTACGCATGCATCATTATGTTACATGTATGATGTAACATTACGCATGTGTCGTTACATTACGCAAAACATTATAAAGTAATGTATAAGTTACTTTATTTATTTATATATACGAATATATATATCATATATAAATTCGTATATACGATATATATATCGTATATATTAATTCGTAACATTACATATACATCATTATATTACACGTATGCTATAACATTACGCATAAACCAATGTATATACATACATACGTACGTATGTACATATGTACATACCAATGATATATGTACGTACGTACGTACATATGTATATACCAATTTAAAGTTTAGCACGGTATGTGTGTAACCACACTAAACTTTAATGTATATAAATAAACAGGACCCCGTTACATGGGATCTTGTTTATTTATATTATTTTTTAAACACAGGACCCCGTTTACGCAGGATCCTGTTTAATTTAACTTAATTTAAACTTTTATTTATAAACAGGATCCTGCGTAATCAGGGTCCTGTTTAATATACATAATTTTGCTGATTAAATTATAATTATATTCCACTTAATTACAACTTATTTTTAAATTATGTAGATAAGTTATTATGAAAAGTTGTAATTAAGTGACCTGCGATCATAGAATATCTTATTCTTTTCGTGTTGTAGAACGAAAGCATCATGCAATAGTATAAGCCTCCAAATTCTATGGAGGATAAATCAGGGTTAGCAAAAGCCGGAATGTTCCTTTGATGGCTTTGCTTTTGGTCAGATCAGTTTTGGTTCTCCTGGCCTTGGTTAATAGTTCGGCCTCCTATTTGTTGGGTTTTATCGTAATTCTGGCTAGTTCTGATGTCCGTGGTTATTTTTAAGGGCTTTAGCCAAATTATTATAGGAACAGCACACCTTGCTTATCGCTTTTTCGTTAAGTTCTAATTTCATCATCGGTGAAGAGGTTAAAGTGAAAGAAATAGACTGGTTTCCAGCCTGTTGATGCTTCAAAATGGGTTCTACAAAACTTAACCAATCACGATGGCATTCAGTTATTTTTTTTTCGCACTTTTAATGATTTCAATAGTTTAAGATGTGATTTCTGGACGCTTATTATCACGGGGTTATACAATCTTATATATTTCTGCAATCTAACTCAAATGAACTATGTCTCTTTACTTTAGAGACGTCTATCTGTATTGTACAAAATTTGCATAGTTACCTAACTTCTATTAACGTGCTATGAGTGAATCTATTTGCAAATCACGAGCAGCATTCAAAATCCACTTTGGAGTATTAATAAAAAGCGTCGGGAGAGAAATTTTATATATAAAATCTCTTTTATTCTGAAGATATCAAGAAAGCATTTGAATGGTATCTAAAATCTGTTGAAAATGGTGTCTGAGGGGCAATTCTGTACTGGAATGTTTTACAAAAATGGTTTTGGAAATGCAGACTTCGAAAAGATAAAAAGAAAGGATTTGAATAGTTGTTGAAATCTGCCGAAGTTGGAAATCCAGATGCACAATATGAAGTTGGCTTATGCTATCGAAATGGCAATGGGACAACACAAAATCATGAAGAAGCTGTTAGATGGCTACAAAAAGCAAAGGAAAGTATTATTTTTTTGATGAACCGAAAGAACCACTTACAGAGATTAAAAGTGGAGATTGTAAGATTGACGACTTACTAAAAAATTGTCCATTATCATGGATAAAATTCAATGAATTTGTAGCCTAATTCTAACCTAGACGGCTCCTAACTCCAAATTTAATTTAAAAAAATTGTTAAATCACATGTGATGCATCCAACATGCTAACTTTACGAATTTATTTAGTATTTACCACGGTGTTTATATTATTTGATCTATAAAAAAATTAAAATTAAACTTTCACACTTACTTTCAAGGTTAAGTTACACTTATTTCTCTACAATACTGGTTCTTATTACAATGATTATTAACTGCTTTTCTTTATTTATTGTCTCTATTTACACGTATATTTATTCTAATCTAATTATATTATTTATGCTTCCTAATACTTTAATAAACTTTTGCCGATTCTTTCCATTTGATTGTAAAATTGCTTATGGTGCACTCTAGTCACATCAAATCTGTACGTACTATTTCAGGGGTATTATTTGTAACGGATCTGCACAACAACAAATTAGCTTTAAGTATGTACGTAAGTCATGATCATTAGTGTGACGTGACATACCTTAAAGTCTTCGCTGTTTGTCAAATAATGTTAACATTAACGTTAATGTTAACGTTAAATTAACATTAACGTTAATGTTAACATTAAATTAACATTAACGTTAACATTAACGTTAATGTTAATTTAACGTTAACATTAATGTAACATTAACGTTAATGTTAATTTAACATTAATATTAACGTTAATGTTAATGTTAAAGTTAATGTTAATTTAATGTTAACATTAACGTTAATGTTAATTTAACGTTAATATTAATGTTAATGTTAACGTTAAATTAATATTAACATTAATGTTAATAAAAAGAATCCCTTATCCAGGATCCTTTGTCATGCTAAAATATTAATTTTTTTAAACAGATGCCCGCTTACTCGGGATCTCTGTTAAAAAGTTACATTTTAACATGATGCGTGATGGAAAATCACCCTTTAGTATTTAGGTTCTCTATTAAAACTTAGGTTACATTACATATATTTTGGAACCTGCTTCGCAGGTTCCAAATTAACATTTTGTCTGTGACGGAGAATCGCCCTTTAGTATTGGGGGGACTAGTTCTCAAACCCAGGCGATGCTCCGGGGCTCAGACTCAACTTTTTTTAGTCTTAAATTTTGTAAATTCAAGTGAACCTAATTTGGGTTCACTTGGACCTGGGTTGAGTTTACTTGCACCCAAGTTGGGTTTAAGTGAATCTATCTTAGGTTTACTTTAACCTAAGTTGGGTTTAAGTAAACTTAATTTGGGTTTACTTGAACCTATATTAAGTTTAAATAAACCTAATTTAAATCTAGTTTAGTTCTAGTAGACCTGATTTAGGTTTATTTTGACTTGTGTTGATTATGTAGGTTTAAATGAACCTGACTTGGGTTCAAATGAACCTAGATTGGGTTTATTTAAACAAGACTTGGGTTCAAATGAACCTGGATTGGGTTTACTTGAACCTGACTTGGGCTCAAATGAACCTGGATTGGGTTCACTTTAACCCTGATTGGGTTCAATTGAACCCAACTTGAGTTCAAATAAACCTGGTTAAATTCATTTAAACCCAACTTGGGTTTAAAGATAGCTCTGAAAGTGGGTATTTTCAGTATTTACTGAAATCAAAAGCCTATCAAAAGTACTTTTGAACAGAATCTGGTTTATCGAAATATTCGAAACTCGAAAGTCCTACTAAAACTTGAAAGTTCTACTGAAACTCAAAAGTCTTACCGAAACTCAAAAGTCTTACCTAAACTCAAAGGTCTTATCAAAACTCAAAACTCTTATCGAAACTCAAAACTCTTAATGAAACTTTTACCGAAACTTGAAAGTCTTACCAAAACTTGAAACTCATAATAAAACTCGAAAAATCTTACTTAAATGGGAACTCTTACCAAAACTCGAAAGTCTTACTGAAACTCGAAGTTCTACCAAAACTCTAAAGTCTTACTGAAAGTCAAACCCTATTTTGGATCTAGTAAAGTCACTTTTTAAACATATCACATTGACAAAGATTAATCAGATAATGATTTTAAAAAAATCATGTAACTACTCTATTTGAAATCAACCAATGAGATCGTGGGTAAGAATTTATAAAATTTATTTGCCAATTTTAAGTAGTGTGATCACATAGTTTTTTATAATAAAAATCTGTATCAAGATCTGATTAGCCTTTGTTGAAAACTGCATTAGTGATATGTTCAAAAAATGTGTTTTGACTTTGTAAAAATTTTGGCTTTTGGTAACACTAGTCGAAAACTATGAATTCGACCTGGTCGAATTACAATAATATTTGGCAACAAATCGGCTGATTTTTTTAAAATTCGGTAGCTTCAACATTAATTCGACCTAATTTAGACAAAAATTTGACAACTGAATTTTAATAAAATTCGACTATACTGATTTCTTCAATAATTCGACCTAATTTAGACAAAAATTTGAAAACTGAATTTTAATAAAATTCAACTATGTCGATTTCTTCAATAACTCGACCTAATTTAGTCAAAAAATTCGATACCCGAATTTTAATAAAATTCGACTATGCCGATTTCTTCAATAATTCAACCTAAATTAGTCAAAAATTCGACAGCTGAATTTTAATCAAATTCGACTATACCGATTTCTTCAATAATTCAACCTAAATTAGGCAAAAGATTCGACAGCCGAATTTTAATCAAATTTGACTATGCCGATTTCTTCAATAATTTGACCTAAATTTAGTCAAAAATTCGGAAATTAAATTGAATTGAATTTTAAAATTGAAATTTTGTCATATCATTTTTATATAAAAAATCGAACTAT